CTGAGAAGCCTCGTCACTCAGAGACGGCTGGTGTAATTACAGCGTCCCGCTGCCATCGGACAATGTAGACAATTCACTGAGGCATGTGCATGTGAATACACAGAGACCTAGTGCATGCCCCTTGCACACAAACCAAATCTCTTGTGGCCAGATAGTGAGCAGTGACCTTCATGTGTCGATTTGAAACCAAAGAGACACTGCTTAAATCCTTGATGCCCACGGCTAATATAATTAATTCTAATTAAATTAGCCTTTAGCTGCCTCTGAAAAAAAGTCAGCTGGAAGAGAAGACTTGCCTGTTTTTGTGCAGTAATGCAATCTTGGCTAACAGCCCTTGAAAGTGCTCTGCAATTACGTGGGTTTGTGTAAGGGGCAATGTCACAGCCTAATACAGGAGCAGGGCAGTTGAGCTGGATGCTGGAAAAGATGCATAAGTGATTAATCATCATGGAAGAAGTGTGTGTGACCAGTTTCTTTTCAAGGGAAGGAATTCAGGATTTGACTAAATGCTTTTTAAAGCTCCGGCTTGCTAACCGAGGTCTTTTTAGGTGATTTTGGACATTGTTTGTTTTAACCTTGCTGTCACTGTTCTTGTAATGTTGACATCGATGTCAGGTACACCCGGTGCTCTGGGGCATTATTTTAACATTAGCTTAGTTAACTGCTTGCTAGCTACAAGTGACAAAGGCTGACAAATCAGCACTTGAATGTCTAAAAATGTGAAACCTGATTTTGTCTACCTCTGTATGAAGTCAAGGAGCCCTTTTTAGTAAAACATACAGTAGCTGGAGTTGAGGATAATCACCTTTATTTGGCCGGCGCAGAGGCATAACAATGCCATAATTGGTGTTTGTTTCTGGAAAAAGAAAGACAGACACTTTATTAATCTAACATCAGGTCATTACTCCGCCCTCATCCACTCTCCCTCAGCAAAGAGGAACAGACTCATTTCCTCTCTAAGAGGACAGGAACCAGAAAATGCCTTTAAAAAAGCAGCATGTTGAGCCAGACATCAATTAGAAACATCGACAAAGAAGGCATGATGGTCATGGCTCCCTCCCTAAAAGATAAAGGCTTGGGTCTTGTCTGTACCTGCAGATATAGGACATGCTGGCTCCTGCGTGGGTGGTGGTTTGTTGCGTCTGGGATCTTGAATGAGATTAGACCTATTTGGCTCCTGAAATGCTTCTGTCTCCAGCTCACCAGTTGGCTCTATTCTCCTCAGATGTCTCCATGTTGACTACAACAGGCTGAAATGGTAGTACACTAAACTCAGTTTTTTTTAACACATATTTAGAGAATGCAACTGATTCTTCTTTTTCTCCCCCTTTGTGTTGCTTGGCACTGGCATTCAAGTTAACTAATACGACCTTACTTATTGCATTTGTCTGTTTTCCTCACACGCTTCCCCCTGCTTCAGTCATTTTTTGTCCCTTTTGTAATGGCCTTAGCCAGTGTGCAGCTGTACAGCTCAATATTTTCCCATCTCTCCTGCAGCACTCAGCTGACCCACTAATGGGGGAGTAGTGTGAGGAAAGGCCGGAGGCAGCAGGGGGACTGCAGAGCTGCAGCTTAAAACAACCCGCTTTAGACAAACAGGGTAGAGCTCCTGAGGAGAGTGCACAGACAAATCATCAGTCAGAAGAAGAGGAAGCATTTTAGGTCAGACTGCAGCTGTGGACCAAAGTAAATGAGCCGAGCTGTGTTGTCACACCTCGACAGACTCTTCATGTTATTTTTGAAAAAACCCTGAGTGACTTTGGACATGGTGCGGTACAAGATGCCATCATCACCTGTGGAGCTGGTCCCTTGTGGGTTTTGTGTTTGTCCTTGCTACCCACTACTTCTCCTTTCAAGTTGTAATGCAGATTCTAGGATGCCGTCTTGGTCATCAAGGTTAATGCTGGCAGACGTCACTTGAGCTTAGTCTGCTTGTCCTTGACAATCTGTCATCACAATGAGTGGTTCAGTCAAAGAGTGAATTTAAAGTGAACCATTTCATTTCTCAAAGGACACAGAACATCCACTTTGATACAATCAGTGTAACAGCTCCTGTTTGTGTGTTGGCTTGCAGCAGTGCTAGACACCATCAACCAAACTGACGAGCACAGTAGGAGACATTAGGTGAGGTTGTCTAATTTTAGAAGAATGCAGTAGTATGTGTGTCTGCGTATCATGACTGGGATGTGTGTGTCTGCTGTTCCAGCTGCAGGAACATTTCCATTATTAGGCATGAATCCACAGTGACTCTGCCCTCATCCCCAAGTCCGCAGGGAATCTCTGAAACACAGAGTTGGAATGTCAGTGGCATCAACCTTGACTTTGACCTTTTAGTATTTGTGTGTGTGTGCGTGCATACAGAGTAGTAAATCCATAGAAATAGCCCCGTCCGTAAATTATACGTCCAGGGAAAAGGATTAAAACTGTAACTGTAACGCTCTGTGAGCTTTTGACTTGAACTTGAAGTTGCATGACTGCAGCTCAGTGCGGCCGGCTAAAACTATGTGTCTGATCAAAGCATTGTGTTGGATGTGTGGGCCAAAAGCTGCTCATTTGTAACCATGACAACAATGCAGCAGTACATCACAGGCCTCCTTGCAGCTTCCCATCTCTCGTTGGCATCATCCCCTTTGTCTGAGCCAATCACAGGAGCAGGGTAGCAGCTGTGCCCCGTTCAGACCAACTAGCCTGTAACAACACGGGGCTGATGGGATACCTACATGTAAAATGTTGCACTTGGCAATAATCGCACAACATTTAGCCAAGACTGATGCTTGATCAGCCTTTTCAATTGCTGGCAATTCTGTTCAGTTTTTGTCTGAAGAGAATAAGGACGAAGTCTAAAATAGTTGGCGGCTGATAGTACACTGTAATATCTGCCATCTAACCCCAATGTCATCATGTTGTTGCATGTTTAGAGCCAAATGGTTTAAGAAAATCTGCACTGCTTCTATAAAAAAAAATGCCATCATTGCTCATTGTGGTCTCACCACGAACCTAAATGGCTTGTTGGTACCACAAGTTTATTTTTAGTCATGGAAACGTACCACAGAAATGTGTAGAACCTGAATTATTTTATAAATGTTATTCCTTTAGCTTATGCATTGTCTTAATTCTGCGTGTTCAGTTACAACTTTTTAAAGATGGTGACGGGCCCATAGTTTTCCTGCTTGTGTGTGTGTGTGCGTGCGTGTGTGTGTGTGTGTGCATACAGAGTAGTAAATCCATAGAAATAGCCCCGTCCCTAAATTATACGTCCAGGGAAAAGGATTAAAACTGTAACTGTAATGTTCTGTGAGCTTTTGACTTGAACTTGGGCTTCAGTTTCTGTGATGCCTCTTTTTCACTGCAAACCAGTGGAGGTATAAATCAAACACCCCCCTCTTTCTGTGTGCCTAAGAGCAGTGTCATTTTATATGACATGCACACACAGCAGAATGTAAAGCAAATAAATACAAGATTGTTTTATCTGCACCATGGTAGGCTCAGCAGGATATGGTTTCTGTCTTGTTTTTGGGCAAACATGCTGGGAATATGAAGCCCAGGAGAGAGGATAGAGGAAGCAGAGGGGGGAAGTAAACTCATCTCGTGTATGAACCAGCACCGTTCGATTGCTAAAAGTGCGGATCAAGCACTGGTCTGTTGAATATAGCAGACACCAGGGGCAACTCCTCCCCTGAGGGCAGTCACAAATATTGTACATTAGACCAATTCACCCATATTATGAAGAAAACACTTTTTCCCACTGGTGGTGGTTTTGAGATGCCTCCTTTCGCTGCCACCAGGTGCAAGTGAACGGAAATGAATTGATGTCTGGCTCTCAGAGTTGAACATTGGTGTTCAAAAGTAATGTGTCGTTTTAGAAATGGTGGCCCCGTTACTTTGGATAAGCCAGACAACAGACACTCGACAGCTGTCATTAGAGCTACAACTTTAAACTTATTCAGTTAATTACATAAGTGAGGCTTCAATCACGTCAACACTTCTGGTAGTTCATGCTTCTCAGATCAAAAGGTTTACTGCTGTCTTTCTGTTTGCCTCATTGTAAATAAAATATTCTGGTTTTTAGGCTGTTGGTTGGACAAAAGAGGGAATTTGAAGATGTCGCACTGTTCACTTGCCAATGCTAAAGCAACAGACATGGCTCTTGAGTTGACCCATATTAAGTCTGTTCCAGAACTGACAATAGAGCAACGACTGTTCCAATTAAGTTGCCATAGAATGAGGGTGGACACATGTCAAATCATTGAACAAATGGCATCAAGGGTAAGTGCAGGTCACTTTATCTTGGTTAAATTTGTGCTGGGTAGGGCAGGTGTTTGAGCCATTCTTCATTCTGACTACATTTCAGTGGGTAGAGAGAGCTGTGTAAATGACGTGGCTTCTAGTTAATCTTGGCTACGTGGCTCTGTCATCTAAATCTCTTAATGCAGGTTAACCTTGAGTCAACACAACAAGTCTCGATCTTAGAAACTCCCCTCATGCACAACCAAGATTAAGACTGAGAGAAACTGCACGCCATGATGATTGTCATGCAGTGGCTCCAAAACAAGGTTAAAAGTTCTTGAAATAACTTTGGGAGCAGATAAGTGTGCGGTGAATATTGTCTTGTACTGTGACTTGTAGTTGTACATCCTGTGCAGCTGGGTCAGATTGAGAAAGGCAGATATAAGGTCATGGTGTCCTAGCCTCTGTGTGTGTGTGTGTGTGTGTGTGTGTGTGTGTGTGTGTGTGTGTGTGTGAGACAGACTCTCCTTTGAAGTTGTATGTATTTTAAGTTTCACTAAATGTCCTCTGAAGCACAGCCAGACACTCAAATACACAGGTCTAGACACACAGGCTGATGTCAGATGCCTTCTTTGTAACTCTGTATGGATATTTATAAAACCTCCATAGTTGCACATTTACGTTTCAGAACAGAGATAACACAGTTCATCTACATTTTTAATGTGTTTGGGGCTGCCCGTCCTCATATTAAATATCCTCCCCTCTATCTGCAGGAGCTGTGTGACGGCCTGGATCTCGACAGGTTGGGAGAGCAGAGCGCTGACGGAACGATCCGACTGGCAGACGCCTGCAGCGGCACAGTGGGTAGCAACATGGCATCCATAGCAGAATACTACGCTGGCAAGAGTGTGCTGATCACAGGGGCTACCGGCTTCATGGGAAAAGTGCTGGTGGAGAAGCTGCTGCGTTCATGCCCCGAGGTCAAAGCCCTCTACATCCTGGTCAGGCCCAAAGCCAGGCAGTCCATGCAGCAGAGAGTCTCCGACATGATGAAGTGCAAGGTTAGAGCAAAATGTGCATAATGTTTTGCCTTGATATTAAATCTGTTATTTCAGTGAAACAGATGTACACGTTCACCAACAAGGAGGAGCAACTTTAGCACTTTCCTTTAACCAAGACAGGACGGCAGCATGGCTGGCTGCAAAGTTTTATCAACCTAGTCTTGTCTCAAAATATAACAAAGTGAGAAGAATTTTCTTAGGCATCCAGAGTTTGTCCTTTTTTAATTTCATCTATAGACAATGTCAGGTGACTGTTGTGCAGCGCTTTTCATAGAAAATTCCCCAAGTTGAATCATTTGTATGAAAATGAGCAGCTGGTGGTTCTTTAATAAAAATGTAAGTATCAGTCTTTATATGTAAACTTAAGTGGAGAAGTGAATGATGATGATGCAATTTTCTAAGAATCATCCAGTCATGGAGCTTCATATTATTTACTAAGAATTCAGTAACTGTGGTATCTAGAGGTGTCAGGATACAACCAGCTCGTGATTCGGTTATGATACAATCATAACATGGTAAGGATGGAAAACTAGTGTCAGTTTTGTTTCCTTACTCTGTAGATTACAGCTTGGCTAACCCCAGAAAACGACAGGGTCATCAGCAGGTTGGTCAAGAAGACAGATCTGGCCTTTTACCCCCTCTTGCCTTGGTATTGCAGCCCATTTCACAGTGCACAAGGGCACGTTTTTTTAATCACAATATATTGTTCCATGAGGCATTGTTGCAGCACTAGTGGTGTTGTATTTTGTTCCCAGCTGCAACAAAAAAGTGTTTCAAACTTGTTACCGCACTGAGTTGCATCTCTTAATAGCTACTTCTCCATGGCAGTGGCAGCAAAGGCTCAGGTATTGTAGTGTTTGCAGGTATCCAGCATGTCAAACATGTCAAACTTGGTGTTAGGTACATGTTCTGCCATCTTTTTAGTAGTTAGAACATGTGGAAGGTGACAGCTGTAGTGCCAGTGAGCTTTCAATATGCTGCGATCACTGTAGAAAAGCAGCAATAAGACTCATTTCTTTGAGAAATCTTCTGTTAAAACATTAGCGCTGCACTTCTGAGGCCATCAAACCAGTCGATTTCAGTCTAGTTGGATGTTTTGACTAGTGGGCTGTTCATTGAAATGACCATTCAAAACTAGGGTTGTTCAGAAGGCATCGCAGCTCTTCTAAGTGTGCTTACTCAGCATTTGAAATTTGCCTGTGAATTATAGCAGCAGCTGCTATTGCTATGGTGACATGAACTTAATGACCCATAAAAATCCAGTGGTTCATCTTTGTGTTTCAGCAGAGAGCAGAATGAGTGAACGGGAAAGCCAAAAGGTTAAATGAACCAAAAGGTATTTCACTGAACATTTCTATCAGAGGAGGAGGTGAGAATGAAGGTTTTAGGACAGAGGAGGTGAGGGCAGGTTTTAGGACAGGTACCAGAGAGATTAGTGAAGTGTAGAAAGGAAGGGTGAAGGAGGGAGAAGTAAGGGGGGAGATGAGCTCCAAATATGTGGTGTCAGCTGTATCAGGAGAATACCAAAACATGACTCGACAAAAACCTCCAAACTATGTTGGACTTAATGAGGACCTGTGGATTGACACTGGCTGTGTATTTCTGTGTTGGAGAACAGCTGCTGTGCACTTTTGCTGCAGCTCTGTTTGGGTTTTACTGGCCTCAAACTGTCAGCCCACCAAAGAAAACCACACTTTCTCTGTATTATCCTTTTTGTCTCCCTCGAACAGCATCTATTTTTACTGCTCTCATTGAGCCTTGGTGCTGCATTCATTTTTCTGACTTGCCCTTAAACTCCCCCCTGTGTTAAGGTGAGCACAATGCCTCAACCACGATTCCTAGAGTCTTTCTCACCATGTAATTCAGTCTGACACAACCGAGCTGCAGACTTGCCAGTTAACGGCACGCTGTGACTTCTGCACTGCAGCAATAGGAAGGGAGACGGAGGAAATTATTTATTTTGAACATACTTTACCTGCTGTGGCTTTTGGGAAAGTAAAGAATCACTGACAAACAATCAGCATCTACATTTGCTAACATGTCAGCAACAGGGCCAGGTGATGTTGGTTGTTTTATGTCTGACCAGTAGTGCAGAATAGAAAACTTTTACACAAGATGAAGAGAAGCAGAAATCATCACAAAAACCAAGATGGGCCTATGGAATACTGAAACACGGGTTAGACTTATCAAAATGTTTTTGTCCATCGACTAAACAGCTCTAAACAGGATATTGAACCTGTATAAGAGCAGAGCAGCTGATAGAAAACCTGACAACAGGATCAAAGCTGTCACAGAACGGTGCCATGTAGATTGGTAAAATCAATATGCCTGACATGGATCAATCTTACAAAAAATTCTGAATTCCTTTTGCACATTCAAGTATTTAACCACTTCCCCCTCAGACATTTATCAGCTGCTGGTGTTTGCAGTATTTCCCCCTCAACATCTGATTGTGCCCACTATCTCTGCCATCAGACTCAGTCATGCTCGGGCTGCATTCAGAAGTGATGTCAGTAAATTTCCATGACCAAGCCTCAAGTACCAATCGGTATTCATGCGAGTCGTCAGGTCAGTATTATTCCGTTCAGATTTGGGATAATTCATGAAGGAGAACAGCAGTTTTGTCTCTCAAGTGGCCTGTCTTCTCATCCTTGAAGCCAGGACAGTATCTTCCTTACACCTGTTGCTAGGTAACCACCAAGAGATGTGTCCCATGGTGCTTTTCAGTGGATGCGATCAGGGGAGCTGCCCTGAGCAGCGGAAGGACAAGCCGATAAGAATCTCATTGTCTGTGTGCATCTCCACTGCACTGACCGACATTTAAGCGCCCTGTCTGTCTGTGTGGATGTTGCACTGATTCAGTGGAAAGACTTGGATGCCTGCAGCTGTTGCTGTGGTGCCAGGCACTGAATGGCATGTCAGGCACTTGATACAAGTAGGCCTCTGGGTACACAGGCCCCCTCTCCTGCTCTGTGGCATGCTTTTCCTGCCCACTAACAGGCTGTTGATCCCAGTAACCATCTTGTTTCTGAGGCATGTTCACACTGCAGGGCTCAAATGTCTCCTGGAGAGGTGGGAGCTGGAATGCCTTGGGTAGGACGGTGCATCCTGTGGAATTCTGCCTACAAGGCAGGATTCTGGAGAGAGAGTGGTTTACTAAGTACGACTGTAGAAGCTGTTCTATGACCAATATAGCTGGGACGCAGATGGCTCAAAATGATGCTTCATTCAGTAAAGAGACGGTTTGCAGTCAAACTGTGCAGTGCTGAATCTGTTCATCTCTTGATGGAAAGATGTAAACCTTCACTCTTGTTCAAGAGTTCAACTTTTCCAAACATAACACAGTATTTATAGTATCTGAAGAACACATAACAGACCAAACTCGGTGCACAAATTGGACAAACCAAGCATAAAACACACATGATAGGGCAGTGCATTTCTGTTGTAAATAATCCAGTAACTACCTGGCTGACACTCCAACTTATGCAGGTGACGGTATTGCACCTTAAGGCTGGAAGAAGAAGAACCCTACCGCACAGACAGTATACACATTAAAGACCGATAGCATCACGATAGCACAATTATTCATGCTTACCTCCAGACTGTCACCAAAGCTACATGTTGACTGGTTGGCAGAGAACAATCCTTAAATGCTAACAAAGCCTGCTGATACACTCGCTTATCAAGTAATATACCACACATATTCCTGATTTTGTTTTTTCACGCAATGATTTATCTGTTTCATATCACTTTAAACTGGCAAATGTGTTAGCTTGGATGCAGTCAAATGCTAAAACAAAGCCAGTACTGATTGGAGATTATTTTGTGCACAAAGATGTTTTTGACTCGGATGAACAAAATACGACACTAAATCTTGTCATATAACTCTGGACATTTTATTTTATTTTTTTTTTTTTTTGCATATTCTAGAGTAAACAGTTGATTACAATTTCCAGCTTTTTGCCCATCCAAAGCAGGAGCTGTTCAGGTAGGGTTATCAAACTCTCAACAGATACTTGGCACTGTGTGCTGTCTCTGTTTGCAACATTGAATAAACAAGGTCTACAGGTTGTACTTTGTATTACTGATGTACTGTCACTGGATGCCGTGTGGTGAATCTGGTGAGATGCCAGTTGTTGAGCAGATGTTGGGTTGTTGCTTTGCCAAATAAGAGTCAGCAGAAGTCAGTTTTCTGCAGTATTTTTTACCCTGTTTTCATTCATCTCCACCAAGGATGCAACTTTTCACTTTGTGTGCACTAGAAAGGATCGAGGAAATGTAGTTGTGGACAGTTTTAAAATGATGCAATTTAGAATTTTTTTAATTGATTAAAGACTTAATTTCAGTCGCCTGGGTGCTCAGAGTTTAGCAGTATTTTGGACGCCTGTTGGCATGGCGTTGTTCCTTCCTTCTGATGTTGCTGTGTTGTCAACACAGCCTCAACTGAATCTGCCAGGACTGGAGGACAGATTGTTTAAACAGGCCGACCTAACTCATTGAGATCCTGGATAGCAGTTAATCACAATCACAAGAACTTCTTGCCTGGAATACCAGAACTTAGTGGAATCTGTGTTGTATTAGCGCAAAGAAAATAAGCTATACCTGTATCTTTTGTCCTCCTGCAAGGTTGTTATGAGTTAAAAATGAGGACATGTTTATGAATGCATCTGTTAAAATGCTTCAGTTAGGTGGCCACTGGTGTATGCAACCATTCTGACTGACACCATCTTGTCTTTGACTCTGAAGCTGAAGGCTCTTTACTCATGCAGAACAATTCTCTTTTTTGATGGAAGTGCAGATTTTCATCTTGGAGCAGAGCCGTGTTTTTCCTTCTTGCTGCAAGAGATCATGTGTGTTTTGCGGAAGCTAATGCGACTTCTAAACTATTGCTAGGGGTGTGTTTTAGAGACGGATGAATGCACGTTAACAGTAGGCTTATGTTTGTACAGGCACGATTGCACTCACCTAATACTCTGCCTTTGAGTCTTCCTGCAGTTGTC